GCGGTGGTGGTGGACGTTTGAAATTTCCGTGTGGATGAACAACGTTGCTACTATTTTCACCGGCGAATTTTCTTCTCCTCGCAACCTTGTAAGTCTTGTTGTTGTTATTGTAACCCATTGAATGAGGATTATTCACCATAATAGTATTCTGGTTGTATCGATTACTATTCTTTTTGAGTAGTAATTGTTCAAAACTGTTTACACGTACTGTGATAGCATCCAAATAAGCCTCCATTGAGTCTAAAGCCTTTTCAAACGGTGACAAAATCTTCTCATCTAAATGCATCAAATTATTCTGTGCCTGTGACAGCTTTTCTTGGTGTTGTTGTTGTTCTTCCTCTTCTGACAAAAGGGGCGAAGACGTCGACGGGGACGACGACGTATCACTGCCAGTATCATCATGACCATCATCATCGGGTAAAGGGTGGTGGTTAGAAATATCTGGAAAATCATTCAACAAAGGAGTTTGATCAGTTGAACTATTCGAAGGATTTAAAGGATGTTCCTTCTTGGTAGTATCTGTTTCCAACCAGTCAATTTCCAGAGGATTTAACATCACAGATGTTGATGAAACATGTGACAATTCATTCGACGCGCCTACAGAAGAAAGAAAACAAGCGGGGGAAGATAAGCACAAAAATAAAATTTTTTAAAATTGCTTAATTAACTGGTCACTAAAGTGTGTGTGTGAAGCTCCCGGATTCAGATGCAAATCCCCATCCTCTCTTGGTCCAAAGTTTTGTACCTATCTTATCTCCAAAGCCTCAGGATGGTCGGGGGTGGGTGCCTTGCAATGCGGGTTGGCCACCCCTCCTCACACCTCTTGAAATCCTCCCATATGACCGGGCGTCTTACATAGCCTCTCCTGAGGAAGTCCTACTCACTGCCTTCACGTGGCGGAGGTGATTTTCACCAAAGTGAGAGGGCGAAAGCGGATGCCCGGCGCTCTTCACCGGGTTGACTGTCCATTGGATGACAGTCTAGGGGAGGTGGCTAAACCCTGATTCCAAACCTCAAACGACTGGCGTATGGAGCTCACTGGAGCTCACCGGCTGACGTATGGACAAAGGGCTTGTTGGATGTCCTGGATGTCTGGCCCCATTCAAAAAGGCGTATGAACCGAACTCCGGTCACCGGCTGCCAATGGATAGTGGACTCCCTACTCCACTCCTACTGCCTTGTAGGTCACACTTGGTTGTGTAAAGGCTAGAGCTGCACTCTCAAACAAAAGGCCGAGCGATTCTGGGGACATCACTCGTACCAAATTCCCATGAAACTTCATGAACTCTCTTACAAACGACTTCGATATGTTCATGAAGCCGGCTCATCCTCCCGTAGGAGATAGCCGAAGTAAATCAAAAATCAATAAATCAATCATCAGAGTTGACGAATTATTGGATACAAAAGTGAAGCTAGCAAAATCTTAAATGGCTCAGACACAGGATCCACTTCCTGACGAAGTACAGGTACAGTGTGCACTTACACATTAAAACGACAAAAACGTGGAAAGCCTAACCTGACAAAACCAGAGATAGAAGCCCTAAAACACCTTAAGAATAACAAGGATATAGTAATCACAAAGTCAGACAAAGGAAATGCAACAGTAATATTAGACAAATCAGACTATTTGGACAAGGTGAATACACCTCATATAGAAACAGTACCATATGAGGAAATTAATAAATCAATAGACACAGTTATGAATTAAGTTAAGAAATTCACAGCGAACCTTATACCCCGAATGAAGCCGTTTCTAGGTGAGTCTAAATGGTTTAATTTAATGACCAAAACTAACAACCCCAGTAGGATGTATGGTGTTGTTAAAGTTCATAAGTCAGGATATCCTATTAGACAGATCTATAGTTGATTTTAGAAATTCACCTACTTATAAATTATCTAAATATATTTACCCATGGTATTAAATCCCCTAAAAATCCACTCGAAATCGTCATGACTAACAGATTCTTACGAACTGATATATAGATTAGATAATTTAAAATTAGATAATGACGAGAAAATGGTTAGTTTTCACATTGTTAGTTTATATACACATACACCAATAAATATACCTGTACAGGCAATCAGAAACGAACTCATTTCTGATCAAGAACTCGAACTTAGGACGAAACTGCCACTTGAAGACATAATGCTGGGAGTGTACCTCTCCCTGACTTCCACAGTATTCAAATTCCTCCAAGGGAAAATATACAAACAAACTGAGGGAGTTGCCATAGGATCACCAATAAAAAAAATTGACAGCATTTAGAGTGACAACGCCAATTTCTTGGTGAAACTACCCATCTGAAATAACAATCAGTAATTCAACATCAGTGTATTTCATATTAGTTTGCTTATTAGATGTATCACACAGTCAGTGAAACAGTATTAGTATTTACTCGATGACAAAGTTGTTTCGAACACAATTCATTATTGCTGTTCGTAATCATATCATCAATTATAATCACACGACTTCGAAACTTGAGTTTTATAGTTTTCTTTATTCTTTCCTATTTGTCGTCATTGGGGTAGTAGAATTTTCCAGATGTCCAGCTGGACAGGTGTTGAACCATTCCTATTGCAGGCACGTATTTGCAGTTGATTCGATAAACAAAGCTTCCATTATCAATCTTCCCCACTCGCCACCCTATGACATTCGATTTCAAAATTGTCATCTTATCCCATCCAGTCTATTGTGTGGTTGTGTGCAATTGCATGTATTGCTTGCGATAGCGGCTGAACCATTCTCTAGATATCTTATCTTATTAAGGTCAACTAATCTAGATTTTGCTGCTAGGTACTTATGCTCGGCTAGTCTAACTGCACCTGTTCCACTAGTCTGACCTATGTATTTGACCTGACAATCATTGCAGACAGGGCATTAGATAAACTAAATTGTTTTGTTTTATTGGCTCCACAGGATTGATCGTTTAACCGACAAAGCTTGTTTCTATTTGAGTTTGTGGTTGGTTTGAATTCCAGCCACTTTGATTCCTGCCTGACGTGTTAAGAATCGTGCGTTAGGTGGTTTCCGATGTTCCTTCCTTGTATGGAAGTACTACTGATGATTTAGATTCCTTATTGTTGGTGTTGTCTTGTGCATATTTGACATGCATGTCGTCACGTTACTATTATTATTATCACTATCGCTACTATCATTATTTATTTGATTATCATTTTTACATTTCCCTACATATTTCCTGACTGGTTTATCAGGGTAATTATTAAGTTTCAAGGCTTCTTTTATGTGTATCAGTTCCTGTTTTAGATTTTCCTTGGTACTACTTAGTTTTTGTGCTCTATCATTTAAACATTTCACCAATCCTATTTTTACTGACATAGGATGGGACGACCGGAAGTCCAAATATCTGTTTGAATGTGAGGGTTTCCAGTAAACACACACTGGTGTTTATTTTCCCAACTTCTTTCCTTTTTACACTACAATCTAACATTGGAAGTTCCCCTTCCTGACTTTCCAATTCATCATAAGTGAATTGAATTGCCTCCACCTTTGAGTTAATGTGTTCAAAAAATCTATCTATATCCTGTGTTCTAAGTGTACAGTGAATGTGTGTCATCTACCTCATACCTCCACCATTGATTTGGGCTGGGTGAGGCTGAACGTTTCAATCGCTATGTTTCCCCACCTATCCATGAATATCTCTGCTACAACCGGGAATATTGGTGATCCCATGGCAACTCCTTCAGTTTGTTTGCATATTTTCCCTTGGAGTAATTTACATACTGTGGACGTCAGGCACAGCTGCATCCAGTATATACTAATACTGTTTCACTGTGTGATACATATAATAAAGAAACTAATATGGAACCAACCAGAAAGATGGAACGGAAGGTATTGAGAAGGGACTGTCAAGGACATTGAAAAAGTTGAAGGACGAATCTATCATATTACTACTTCGCATATGTATGACCATCTGTCAACTCAGTCTGGTCCAACCACCCCCAATCCTTTATATGGTTGGTCTTCCTAAAGTACATGAACATGCTATTACTCTGCAACCTATATTGGACATGCGCTGAACTCTCCTCCTTATCATTCTACAGTAAAATGGCTCGTTGAGATCCTTGAATCAGTAAGATCAAATCTATGTAAACATGGTCTTTCCGACACTTTTGACTTTGTCAGTCGAGTTAATGGAACTAAATATTTATTTATTTTTTTTATTTAAACGCAGAAACAAAAACTTGGTACAATATGGCACCAAGAAAGATGCGCCACACAATAATAATAAAACAACATAGATTAAAAGTAAAAACTATACGGGTAAAGAACTTCATCTGGAAAGGGAACAGTGAGTATCTTCAACAGATGGTGGTTGCGGCCAGAGAGGAATGGCAATGGTGGTGGGCGGCGGCGAAATACCACCAACCAACAAGCCAATTGCCCAGCTAATATGCATGGGGAAACAGAGGGGAATCGGATACACACACAGCGATGAGATTGTTGAGGAACAACACACATCGTGCGCCACCAACCAAATAGAGACTCGAGTGCGAGCCGACCGAAAAGGGAAAAGACTACTTGGGCGGCTGTTCAAAGGTTGGATGACATATCAAAGAACGCGTGATGCGATGAGACCGCCTATAGGCAGACAGCCAGCTAAAAATGACTGTAGGGAACAGGATGGAATGGCAGTGTGCTGTTGAAGTTCACTCGGTACTCAAGGCAATAGTAGTGGCAATAATAATAATAATAATAATAATAATAATAATAATGCATGAAGAGTAAAGCCGTTAGTTTTAGATATTTCAATTCGCTCAGACTTCTGATGGAATATACAACGGTGGTCAATGGGTTGATGTAAGTCTTAGAGCTTTCAATAAATCAATTAATCAACATATGAGTAGAATTCAGACACTGACGCAGCATTTAATTCTTTATCAACAAAGACAAGTAACACTAACAATAATAATAATTAACAATAATAATAATGAGATACATGACAGATATCAGACAAACTAACAACAATAAAGATACTCACATGAAACATTCAAAATACCACCACCACCACTACGACTGCTGTCGGTAGCTGCTGCTGCTTTTGGTTCAGGCGACGACTGACGAACTCCACAAGCTGACGCTATGAAATCATCACTCAAAGGGCTTTTCAGTAAATCGGAGATGATTGATCTTGCACAACTTGGAATCGGTAAATTCATAATATCAGCGCCAACAGCTGAATTTAATTGACTCATTAGAAGTTTTGTAGGTGTAGTCGACGGAGTAGATGTGCTCCTCTTCGATTCTCTATTTATGTTTATGTCGGGTGGTGGAAAGGATCACAGTAGGGGATGAGAACAAAAGAAAACAGAAAACAGACAGAAATCAACGAAAATGCAAAAAATACTTGAGATTCGCGTTAAGAGAAACTATTTTTTTTTAACAAAGCAGGAACTACAGTTTTAGCAGAATAAAGTGGTACCATCCTTTGTTTATTTCGTTGCCTTCTCGTCAGCTGCTTACAGGCCAAAGACACTATTTAATATATATATATATATATATATATATATATATACAAAAACTATTTCAACATACTTACACAGAGTTCATTTTAAACAAAAATCAATCAGAAACAATTTTCCTGGCGAAACTAGAAAATGGGCCTTTGAAAGATGTTATTAATGAACTCGAATTTTATTGTCGATACATGGATGTTACTTTTTTGATTATGAAGAACGAAAAGGAGGCAAAGAACATCCTGGATAAATTTAATGAGGTACATCCTGCAATAAATTTTACCGTCGAGAAAGAAAAAGACTCCTCTAGTACTTCATTTCTAGACGTCCTTATGACCAGAAAAGAGGATGGCACAATAAGAAGAAGCGTTTATAGAAAACCTACATCAACGGGCCAGTACACACATCTTCTCAGCTTTGTGCCCTTGAAATACAAACGCAACCTAAAAGAGTGCTTGGTCCACAGAGCAAGAGAGATTTCCTCGGATGAATGTCTTGACGAGGAGCTTAACAATATTAAACGGTTGCTAAGTGAGAATGGTTATCCCGAAAAGTTTTTTGATAAGAATATGAATCTAAAACCAAAACAGTCCAAGTTACCAACAGTTCCAAAGAAAGCCTTGTTCTTACAGATGCAGTTCCTAGGAGACAACACAAGTGAGATACTAACACATCGCCTAAGAAATGCGGTAAAAAGAGCATTCCCTGCTGCTTGAATTACGCTGTATCTTTAAAACCACTCCTCTTCTGCGTTCGGGAATGAAAGACAAACTGCCTAATTTCGCCTCTTCCATGTGTGTCCATCTACCAATTTAACTGCTCCTGTGGAGCCAGTTGCGTAGGCCGTACAATAAGGCGTGTTTCTCGTCGAATTTCCGAACATCACCCTGCCTAGTTAAGCAAAGGTCAAACAAAATCTATTCGCAGTGCTATTCTGGCGCATCTTGTGGAGACAGAACACAAGATTGACGTTAATCATGCTTTTAGGGTCATTTACCGCATACCTACGAATCTCAATTTCGCTTTAAGAGTTCGACTTCTAAATATTGCTGAGGCTGTGGGGATTCATATTAATAAGCCTAATTTATGCATCCAAAAGAAGTTAGTTCAGTCATTATCATTACCTTGGCCATCTAGGTTTGAATAATCCAGAATTTTTGTGAAATTTCCCTAATTTTAGTTGATATTCTATTCGCTGTTATATCTTTATTATTATTATGATTATTTAAGCATCTTTAATGAATCGCAGTAGCATTGACCATACTTTACAAATCGACATTATTTAAAAAAAACGGTAATATTGTTACTAACTACTAATTAAAAATATTCTGTGTATATAAACATATAATTGTAGAGCCGGAAGAGGAGGAATTTATGGAAAAGAATATTCTTTGCTCGATTATTTTGTGTTTTAAAAATCAATCGATCAACCTATGCATACAGTAATTATATATACATATATATGTTATATTAAACACTATTCCGAACAATAATAATCATACACAATGGAAACTTTTCAGCATTTCGCATTCAGATGAAAGAGAGAGATGAAAATATCCATTTACCAGGCAGGGCAAAGAAAGACTGATAACCGCTTCTTTCTGGACGCATAAATCAGGTTTCAGGCGCTTGATGGAAATGGCTTCAGCAAAATTTGAGGAGAATTGAGCTCTTTTGCCTATTGATAATTTTGAACGACATTTCGACATCCACCTCATGACCGATCGGTGTCAAGGAGATGCCTGGCGATGGATGGTACTGTTTAAAGTATTTGTTCCCTTTAGACATAAACCTTTTGGTACATGTTCAGAAAATCGTAGATATGCCCTTCTTTCTTTCTGTCCTTCCAATGTAACTGCTCCCGCAGATACATGTAAATTTGTATATACAGTTGGAGTTGTTAACATGAGAAGGATATCTATCGATTTTCGATTGCACCAAAGGAGAGCAAGTTGTTCGATAGACGGAGACGAGCTTAGCTGCAGGATAGGCTCTGGATAGTGACGCACTCAGCCTTCTGTTGATCATTGCTGCAATGTTTTTACCTTTATAATCAAGCTGAATGTAGATTGGCTTTTTTACCCACTGTGATTTGATGAACCTTTAAGGGTAACCATTACTCTTCAACATATTTTCAAGAAGCTCAAATTCTTCCTCTAATTTCTCTATACAGCATATTGTCCTCCCTCTATAATACAGAGTCTTGACTAGTCCACGTTTAAAGCTATTTGGACAAAAGCTATTAAAATGTAAGTATCGTCCTTTCCATGTGGACTTTCGACAAATTGACTTCTAGGCGTTGCATGACAATGTCGAAGAAGAGGAACTTTAAGTCACTTTCATGTTCCATAGAAAACTCAATATTGGCGTGTGCATAATTGAAGCATGACTTTCAGTGTTGCACACTACAAATGTGTCATCAACATATCGACAGTAGGAAGTTGTTTCGTTGATTGCATGCTTCAACTTTGTTCTTTCAAGGTTGGACATGAATATAAATATCTGCTAAAACAGGGCTAATTGGACTGCCCATAGCTACACCATCTATTTGGCGGTAAAGAGTGTTGTCGAATTGGAATTGCAAATCCATGGTACACATTAGCAGTAGGCGTTTGAATTCCGACTCTGGCAGTGGGAGAGGATTAGACTGCTGACAAATGATCTCAATAGTTTCGTTGATTGGAATCATTGTGAACAAGGAGGTTACATCAAATGACACCATGAACTGTATATATTTTTTGTTATCACCAGGATCCAGATTGCCTTACCTGTACGACTTACCAAAGATGCATAAGCCTGGCATCCCTATGAGACCAATATAATTAGCTATGATTAATTCGCCATATCACAAAGTAGCTAGGTGGCTAGCAGAAATGTTAGAACCAATCCATAGTAAGTTAGCAAGCAGTCTACAGCCTGAAAGACACCTTCCAATTCGCTAAACAATTAGAGAATCTAAGCATCTCAAAAAAAATTCATGGTGTCCTTCGACGTGTCTTCACTGTTTACAAAGATCCCATTGGAAGAAACAATACAAATTATATATGTCAACATGCCGCCGAACTTCTTCCTCTGCCCAAGAACGAACTCCTCAAACAACTTTTACTTATGTGCACCAAAGACGTACACAGTTCCAGTTCAACAACAACACACTGTGTACCGCCAAATTGACGGAGTCACCGTGGGAAACCCCCTGGGTCCGATTCGGGGAGATATTTTTATGGGTAGTAGCCTAGAACACAAAGAAGGTTGAAATCCGCAATCAGTCAGACCAACTTCTATACCAGGTAGGTATGTCGATGACACTTTCGTTATATTTGTAATTCTTTTAATGATGCATCTCAAGTATTGAAAGTCTTGAACAGCGCCCATTCTAATATTAAGGTTACAATCTCCTATTATACCACATTCCACACGGCAACTCTAAAGAATAGCAGCCCAAACCGAAACCACCTAGCGAATGGACAAATGACCTTGAACAACCAATCAGGTGACTCTGTATTTTCCAAAAGTATTTATGGTTGCTTTACACCTTTTGCGTTGCAAATTCTCTCCAGATCTTGTTTTTGATTACTGTTTGGAGAACGGACTGATAGGAATGTCGAAAAATTGCCAGTGTGGAGGTGTCATTCATATACAAAGATACAATAGGTGCATCGATGGATTTGTTTGTTTGTTGGTGAAATGAGTGGCGAACCAGAAAATCAGTTCGAGAAGAACGTATGTCGTTCGTTTTTAATTTACAGATTCCTTAGGTACTTTTGATAAAAAGAAAATATAATCGAGGGAGATTGAGTGCAAATCAGCAGTAGGTATTGAGGATGTATGACACCAGCCTCCAGAAAGGATATATTGGGGCTATCCCTAATCGAAGTGCAGGTGTATTATTGCCTATTATCCAGCGCTTAGTGTTGCCTGGGGCGACTATTCTTACAGATGAATGGAGTAGTTACAGTCAGCTGTCGAATCTGGGCTATATTCATAAAGTGGTCAACCATACAAATGGTTTTCTCAATCCTTTTGATAGAACACACTAATTCCATCGAAAGTTTGTGGATGCACCTAAAAAAACGTATCAGATTTGTGAATGGATCAAGAAATGCAATGATATACAGTTATTTCGATGAGTTTATCTACAAGACATGGTTTAAGATGAGTATCAAGACTCCTATGAGAAATTGGCAGGTTTTTTTTGCAACATATACGAGAACATTGTCTTTTGTAACTATTTTTTAACATTGCATTACTAGTGCGTCGGTGGCACAGCGGTTAGGACTCTCGCCGACCATGCACATGGTTCGGGGTTCGATCCCCTGCCGACGCACACTCGATATCTATGGTCGGCCTGCAAAATTTGGGCTACCGATATCACATACTGAAAATTCCATACCTACCTGTACCAGAAAGTACGGTGTGGAATCAAGCTGTAATCAAAAAAATTAATTGTATATAAACGATTTATTACAATTATGCGCCATTTTTTTCGAGCCTTCTGATTGGTCGAAGTTGTCCTTGTGAAGGTCATTTGTCCGTACGCTAGGTAGTTTCGGTTTGGGCTGCTATTCTTTAGAGTTGCCTTCCACACTTCCTATTCCAGTATTCTGCTAACACGAAATTTATCTTTCCCTCCATGTATTATCCTTTGTGATTCAATCAATACAATCAATACCCGGAAAAAGAAAAAAATATGAGTAAAATCAACACACACTTACATGGCTAAAATTTCTTCATTTTGATGATGATGATTTAAAATTTGTTCTTTTGGATCAGTAGTTGACGACTGGCTGGCATGTTTGTCAGGGGAGGCGGGGAGTGAAGGCAGCAGCAGTTGCATACTGGCAGAATCACCGCATAAAGAAGCAGAAGAAGGAGGTAGCTGTCTACTCTGCTCTACCAAGTGGTGGTCACCGCAGCATGAGGAGTTCAGAGTACTTTGGTCACTGGTCACTACTACTCCACCACCACCGCCACCATCACCACCGACGACGACGTTAAGACTTGAAATCTCCGGTATGATATCAGCACCGAGGTCTTGGAGTAGTAATAGTCCTGACAGATCATGTGATCCCTCCACCATACTGTCGTCAACAGGAAGAGGTTCCATTTGAACAGAAGTATCTAATACCCAACTGGTGTTAGGACATTCGCAACATTCCTCTGATTCCGGTGTAATCGGGAATGTTGTTGTAGGATTAGGATTATTATTATTATTATTATCAATTGGGACGACATGTGAAATATCCATGATGTTGGCGAGAGCATTTTCACCACTGCCCGCTGATGATGATGATCCTGATGATTCACATATCTCTCCAAATGCTATGCCTCGTAACTCCATGTAGAGACCTATAAAGGTTCAAAAGAATGGACACGGAACAAAGAGTAATTACTCTTTTCGATAACTTCATCATCATCAGGCTCTACAGTTATATATCCATCCATAATAGTGAATGAATGAATGAATTAGTGTTATGAACAACAACATTAATGTTGCTATTTAAATAACATCGAATCAATAATACCAGTGGATTACAGTTCAATAGCATCAACATAACAATAAACTGAATGTCACTTGAATTAGGAAAGATAATATTACAAATTCATGAAGGCCATGGCAGTAGAAGGGGTTGAACTTGCTTCTTTTGCACAAAAAGCACTGGTTGTTTGAGGCGAATTGTAATAGCCTCTGCTGTTTGGAGCATGCGGTGCTCCGATGATGATATTGGCAATTTATTAGGCACCCGGTAGATGATGATAGAGAAGGATTCTTCCACACTGGTTGGCTGGCTTGCTTTGTGGCCGGCTGGCCGGTTTGCACCAGATGGTCCAATATCGAACTGTTTGTTAATGGTTTTCACTACACCTTTACTTAGCCATAGTGGGAGATGTTCTTGAAGAGCGAGCACGAAAAATCAAGTTCCTAGAGCAACAACGGCCGAAATAACTCGCTCTACAAGCACAGTTGCAGTTGAATTGGTAGATACAATTTGAAGTGGCCAGCTAGTCTAGGTACTTCATCTTTCAGTCGAGGAATCACCATCAGTCGTGTAGAGAATAAGACGTGTAGTTCCCCGCTAGCATTAAAAGTTCTTCGAACTGATTTTTTCAATTTCTTCGTAATTATCTCACTTGGTATATCGTCCATGAATTGTAGTCGTATATAAAGTGACTTCTTGTTTACGGATAGTGAGTAGTCCTTTACCGCTTTCTTTATCATGTTTCTTGATAAATTTGTCGGGATAGCTATTTACGATCAAAGTATCATATACAATGCTGAATTCACTAAATTTCTTTTGTACTTGATAGAAACGAAGCTGTGAAAGTGTGTATATTATCCTGTCCAAGTACTTTTTCTATGTAAATTTCTTTTTATGCTACCGTCTGGTTTTCTTGTAAGTAGGACATCCAGGAAGGCAATTCTGTCTTGGGATTCTTCTTCACATGTAAATTTCATAGCAGAATGTATTTCATTGAATTCAGTAATTATTGTACTCTTATCCGAATCATTATATCACAAGGAATGAAGGTGTCATCCATAAATCGGCAACAGAATGAAAACTTTCTGATAAGGTGGTTGTTCAATGGTCCGTTTTCTGGTTTACTCAATTAAAAAGAAATCAGACAAAATGGGACCCAATGGGGAGCCTTTCGCCACTATCTTCTCATGCAAAGGTTTGAGAATATTTACTAGCCATCTAGCTAGAAGCATGGTAGGGTGAATTTTGCATATCAAGTATTGGTCTTAACGGTACCCCTGGTTTATGCACTTTAGGTAGGCCATACAATCTTGGCGTATACGTGCCCGTTGGTCTGATTTCTTTATATAAAGGTAAGGTTTTAGTTTATTTATGCATGCAAACATCATAATCTCTTATATCCAATAAAAAGTATATAGCTGTGAGTAACTACTACTACTATTCTGATAACTGGACTACCATATGCCACAAAGGATGTTTTTTAGGATAGCACAATTAGACCAAAAGCACTTGCCATCGTCATTATGCAAGTTCATTCAGATATCTATAAAACACAAAATATCATTGAGTCAGCAAAGAATATCCCCCTTTCGATAAATTCCTGCTCTTCTCCCTCTACAATTATATCTATATATGCATGTTTATATACACAGAATATTCTAGATTAGTAGTCAATAACAATATTAGTGTGTGCTTTTTAAATAATATCGATTTGTAAAGTAAGATCACAATGGAATCACCACAGTTCATTAAAGATGCTCAACTTATAATTATAATAATAATAAAGATATAGTAGCAAATAGAATATCAACTAAAATTAGGAAAATTCCACAAAAATTCAGGATCGATCATTCAAACCTACATGGCCATACGATTAAGGATAATGTCTGAACCAACCAACTTCTTTTGGATGTACAAATTAAGCTTGTTAATCTGTATCCCAACGGCCAGCCAGCCTCAGCAATATTCAGTAGTCGAACGCCTAAGGCGAAATTGAGGATGATACATTTTTGATTATGAAAAATGAGGAGGAGCAAGCAAAGAACATCCTGGATAAATTTAATGAGGTTCATCCTGCAATAAATTTTACTATTGAGAAAGAGAAAAAAACTCTAGTATCTCATTTCTAGATGTCCTTATGACCAGAAAAGAGGATGGTGCAATAAGAAGAGGAAGTGTATATAGAAAAACTACATCGACTGAATGGCAGTATACTCATTTTCTCATCTGCGTCGGTGGCACAGTGGTTAGGACTCTCGCCGACCATGCACATGGTCCGGGGTTCGATCCCCTGCCGGCGCACACCCGATATCTATGGTCGGCCTGAATTTGGACTACCGATATCCATGCTGAAAGTTCCATACTTGTACTGAAAATACGGTGTGGAATCAAGCTGTAAATCAAAATAAATAAAATAAATAATCTTCGTGCCCTTGAAATACAAACGCAATCTGATAAAGTGCTTGGTCCGCCATAGAGAAAGAGCAATCTACTCGTATGAATGTCCTGATGAGGAACTTAATGATATTAAACGGTTGATAAGTGAAAATGGTTATCCAGAAAAGTTTATTGATAAGAATATGAATTTAAAATCAAAGCAGCCCAAAGTACCAACAGTTCCGAGGCAAAGGAAGGCCTTATTCTTACAAATGCAGTCGGTTCCATGGGGACAAAATCAGCGAGATACTAACACAGCTGTGCCTTAGAAATGCAGCGGTAAAAAGAGCATTTCCTGTTGCCGAATTACGCTGCATCTTTAAAACCACTCCTCTTTAGCGCTCCGGAGTAAACGACAAATTGCCTAATTTCGCCTCTTCCATGCGTATCTACCAATTTAACTGCTCTTGTGGAGTGAACCAGTTACTTGCATAGGCCACACAACTAGGCGTCTTTCTCGTCAAATTTCCGAACATCACCCTGTGTGGTTAAGTGAAGGACAAACAAAATCTATTCGCAGTGCTATTCTGTCTCATCTTGTGGATACAGAACACAAGATTGACGTTAACCATGCTTTCACGGTAATTTACCGCATACCTACGAACCTCAATTTCGCCTTAAGAGTTCGACTACTAAATATTGCTGAGGCTGGCTGGCTGTTGGAATCCATATTAACAAGCCTAATTTGTGCATCCAAAAGAAGTTGGTTGGTTCAGACATTATCCTTAATCGCATGGCCATCTAGGTTTGAATGATCGATCCTGAATTTTTGTGGAATTTTCCTAATTTTATTTGATATTCTATTTTCTACTATCTTAAAAAATGAACTGTGGTGATTTCCATTGTGATCTTACTTTACAAATCGATATTATTTAAAAAGCACACACTAATATTGTTATTGACTACTAATCTAGAATATTCTATGGAAATAAACACACATATATATAAATATAGAGACAGTAGAGGAATTTATCGAAAAGAATATTCTTTGCTCAATTATTTTGTGTTTTATAATGTAAGTTGTTTTTACAATATATTACTGATCTCTTGGTGAAGCCGTACTGCTGGCGGATGATATGGATGTAACACCACCAGTAAGCTGTTTGCTTCCTTCAGATGACCAGTATGCCAGCCAGCCAGCCAGCTAGCTAGCTAGCTATGCTGGTCTCTCCACTCTGAAGAGAAGGGGGTTGGAAAAAGTCAGCCCAAAAAATTTATACATCTCGAATTATCTTATGACGGTAAGATTTTATTACGCGAATGCAACTGCAGAAACAAATTCAAAGAGAGGGGTTGAAAATATAAGTAAGTAAGGGGTGGTTATGTCCTTATAGGCCGCCAAGGGAGGGATAATGGCTGTACGAACTTCTTTTGAATGCATAGTTTAGGTTTAATAAATGTCCGAATGCCTATCGCCTCAGGTGTGTGTGTGTGTGCAGTAAACCAGCGAATACGAAGTCTATTGGAAAGATTCGGTGGGGGATACGATACGATGAATTACTTTGAAAGCTCTCGTTTTCTCCACTACCAACATGACCACTATCAATTAAATGTGACAAAATTGAGCTACGGATTGTTTTTGTCTGTCCTTTGCCAAACCACGATGATGGGAGATGTTCAGTAGTGACACGTTGGCTGGCTAAGCTGTCTAGTAGTAGTGTGCCCAACATAACTGTCACCTCTGGTGCAGTTGAATTATTGATAAATGCACATAGATGTGTGGCAAAACTATCTAGCTATCTATCCTTCGTTTGCGTCCCAATCATTCGTCGGCTAGAGAATGACAAACATAGGTATGCTGCGTAAAACCTTCTCCGTATACTCCTGGAAAGTCTCTGGAACAAAGTCTCACTTGATAAGTCACCATTAAATTGTAACTTAATAAATAGAGGCTTTTTACGTGCAGTTACATTTATTTTTACTAACCTTTATCGACTACCACGTCCAACTGAACAGTTGTTTGTTTAATCATGCTGTTGTTTTTTTTCATTATTCGTGTTATCATTTTTTCATCTTTATTATTGATAAGACCATTATAATTATTATAATTATTTCCTTTAATTCCTACAGGAACATAGGGATTCAGCCGTGCGTCTCCATCGCGTTCGGTTCTCTGCTAGAGTCTTCACCTGGCTCCATGTCTGCCCACACGTTTTCATCTCCTCTTCACATGACCTCCTCCAAGTCACCCTTGCACTGACGACCAACTCGCCGCTTCCCTTCCGAGTTCCACTCGACCAATGGCTTGTCTAGTGTGATGCCACTTGATGGTTTCCTCAGAGTATGGCCAATCCATCTTCATTTCTTCCCGCAAATTTGTTGCACAATCAGTTCCTGGTTGGTTCGCTCATTACCAGGGATCCCTGTTGCTGATCTTTTCTGGCTGGCCATCTGATCTTGAGCAGTGTTGAGCGAAGACAACTGTTAATGAAGGTCTGTAGTTTGTTTGAGATGCTCTTAATGACGCGCAATGCAAGTTTCTGATCCGTATAGTAGCACTAATTGACTTCACATTGGAGTTGAATATCCGGATCTTATTTTTGATGCTGAGTGTTGTTGACCTCCACACAGACTTGAGAGTAGTTAGAGCTTGTCTTGCTTTTCCGATCCTTGCTTTGATATCCTCGTCAGTTCCGCCTGTAGTTGGAACGATGCTTCCCAGGTAGGTAGGTAAAAGAGGTTGTTTCTTTCAGGTTCCTCCCATTTATGCTGATTGTTGTCTGTTGTTGTTGTTGCTGTTGGTGTTGCCCGGGGATCTTCATCACCTCCGTTTTCTCTATGCTCACCTGGAGTCCTATCTTTGATGCTTCTTCTGCCAACTTGCTGCTTTTCACCTGCATATCTTCCAGTTTGTGGGAAATCAGACATATATCATCGGTGAAGTCCAGATCCTCCAAGTTCTTTGTGTGAGTCCATTTTATGCCTGTTTCCTCATTCCTCGCTGTTTGTCACATTATCCAATCTACTGCAATCAGGAAAATCATTGGCGATAGTAGGCAGCCTTGTCTTACACCTGTCCTCACTTCGAAGGATTACTTCGCATGCAGCATTGTCGTACAGCTGTTGGATGAGATGTATAATTGTCGGTGGCACCCCGACAATTTATATTCACCATCTTATTATTTTTTTCCTTCACGTTCCCCAGTGGAACATAGGGCTTCAAGCTAGTGAAGTTTCTGTAGCAGTGTTTATTTTTGCAGGATGGGGTTGCTAGCCTCAAGCCCAACCATTCCTCTTTACCAGCATTATTTCTGGCTTAGCGAGGTAAAGGAGTGCATTGGTGGCCGGGGATCGAACCCCAGACCATGTGCATGATCGGCGAGCGTCCTAACCGCTGTGCCACCGACACACACCATCTTATTATCCTATAGACAAAACACCATGATTGGTTTATATATTTGAATGCTTATTTGTAAAGTTATGTAGGCATATTAGAGTTCAGCCTGTGAAGAGATCTGTCTAATTGAAAACAACAATACTGTTCTGTCTGTCTGTTTTCAACATAGAACTTTGCACCGATGTACGGCAGTTCAAGTCGCCACACTCCCTCTACTCCATATAGCATACAAAGCAACAGAAGAAAGTAGAAGAAATGCATAATAGAGAGAGACAGTAAACAGAGGTGTGCTGAGACGAAGGAATAGTAATAACGAAGAACAATATAGTTTCATTGGAAATCATAATTCACAAGGAGTGGATGCATCTGCGCTAGCCAGCCATTGAGAACGATTTCAAGTCATATCAGCAAATGTTTCCAGCCTTCATTGGTTCGTACCGTCTCGAGGACATCAACGAGGAAGCCAGTCTACACTTTCCTACGTGGCTGGCTGGCTTAAACTAACTGTTGTGGATTTCATTGACTGGTGAAGCCATATTTTGGTTTGACCTCCGCTAGCTCTTTTCCAGTCTGAACCATCCTATGTCAGCTAAAATTGCCCATTGTCGAGGAAGGCGATGACTAGGCCACCCATACGTAACACATGTCCTAACCATCTCAGTCGATGTATTTTCACAGCCTCATCGATTGATTTTCCCTCCTCATTACCTACCACTCGACCGAAGCCTAAACTCAATATTTCTCACCCTATTATACCACTTCACACGGGAGATAGAACACAGGCAGGCACCTATGATTGAAGACAGCTAGTCAGCCTTTTCATGTCTTCCACAACAATACTGTTCGCTTAAGCAGGTTCTAAATTGTTCTAAATTTTACTATATGGGACAACAGCGGACTTGGTGACGTCACTACGGGATAAGGTGTGGAAAGAAGGCAAAGTACCCGAGGATTGGAAGAAAGGATACTTATTCAAACTACCAAAGAAAGGAGACCTAAGTCAATGCAAGAACTGGCGCGGAATTATGCTCCTGTCCATCCCAAACAAAATACTAAGCCGTATCATCCTGCTGGAGAGAATCAAACATGCCAACCTGGATGAAAAACTTCGACCGGAACAGGCTGGATTCAGGAGAAACAAGTCATGTATTGATCAGATCGCCACATTACGGATCATCATTGAACAAAGCCTGGAATGGCAGTCAACTTCATCGACTTTGAAAAGGCCTTCGATAGTGCAGCGTCGATCGAGAGGTGATTTGGAAACTACTTCGCTACTACGGGGTGCCACCGACAATTATACATCTCATCCAACAGTTAGTTGTACGACAATGCTGCATGCCAAGTAATCCACAACGGGAAACTTACGGAATCCTTCGAAGTGAGGACAGGAGTAAGACAAGGCTGCCTACTATCGCCAATGATTTTCCTGATTGCAGTAGATTGGATAATGCGACAAGACAGCGGGCAATGAGGAAACAGGCATAAAATGGACTCACACAAAAAGAGACTTGGAGGATCTGGACTTCGTCGATGATATATGTCTGATTTCCCACAAACTGGAAGATATGCAAGCGAAAAGCAACAAGTTGGCAGAAGAAGCATCCAGAGAAGGTAGGACTTCAGGTGAACATAGAGAAAACAGAGGTGATGAAGATTCCTGGGCAACACCACCAACAACAACAACTGACAACAATCAGCATAAATGGTAAGAACCTGAAAGAAACAACCTCCTTTACCTACCCACCTACTTGGGAAGCATCGTTTCAACTACAGGCCGACGGAACTGACGAGGATATCAAAGCGAGGATCGGAAAAGCAAGACAAGCTTTCATTACTCTCAAGTCTGTGTGGAGGTCAACAGCAGCACTCAGCATCGAAAATAAGATCCGGATTTTCAACTCCAATGTGAAGTCAGTCAGTGCTACTCACTATACGGATCAGAGACTTGGCCAGCGCGTCATAAAGAGCATCTCAAACAAACTACAGACCTTCATTAACAGCTAGTTGTCTTCGCTCAATACCACTCAAGATCAGATGGCCAGAAAAGATCAGCAACAGGGATCTCTGGGAGCGAACCAACCAGGAACCGATTGTGAAACAAATAGGCAGGAAGAAATGGAGATGGATTGGCTGGCCATACTCTGAGAAATCAAACCATCAAGTGACATCACTAGACAAGCCATTGCTCGAGTGGAACCCGAAAGGGAAGCGGTGAGTTGGTCGTCAGTGCAAGGGTGAGGTGACTTGGAGGAGGTCATGTGAAGAGGAGATGAAAATGTGTGGGCAGACTTGGAGCCAGGTGAAGACTTTAGCAGAGAACCGAACGCAATGGAGACGCACGGCTGAAGCCCTATGTTCCTGTAGGAATTAAAGGATATAATAATAATAATAATATATTAAAGATTTAAAAAAAGCAACTCACGATTAACTTGATCTTCCGGTGTATGCGAATCGAAGGCTGTATGTTGTTTAGTGGTAGTAATAGTAGTAGTTGTTGTTGTTGCACACAATTTCGAAGTTTCAACTTCCCTTAACTTCGATGATGATGATGATGCATCTTCTTGACGTACAGTTTTGTACCTGGTTGTTCCGCTGTCTTCTTCTTCTTTCTCCTCTTTATCTTGCTTAGCTTGATAAGTCCATCGAGGCAACGACGATGACGACTTGTTCAGTATATACTGACCAGACTGGATTAACGGACGTAACTGGCAGGTTTTATTTAAAACAGCTGTCACCTGTGCAAACAAACTCCGTTGAGTGTATTCTGAACAACCGTTAGGCGGCGACTGTAGCAGACCACTACTACGACTACTGTGCCATTCATTTTGACGGGATCTTCTCACCGGGCGTAATACCATTCGACAGCAATCACAAACAAATGAGAAAGGGAATTTAAGTGTTTTAACTGCCAATGAATTCATCTCAAACGGTAATCCATAACAGCGACAATGTTGCCAACGCAAACAATATCCGCATTGAACAAGACCAGCAGGTACCACCTCGTCACTGACGCAGGTTGTTGTTCGTGTATTGCATCGGTAACAAGTGAGGAGGCAAGTGAATTTCGGCGCACTTGACGACGACGACGACGACGACGCAGCATCATCAGAGTGAATGAAAATTACCAGAAATATATAAGCAAATAAATTAATTAGTATAACAAAACAAAAAAATATTCATTCAAATATCTATAAAACACAAAATATCATTGAGTCAGTAGACCGCTTCAATTACTTGGGAAGTACCATCAGCCAGTGCCAACGGGTTGATCTCAGACGAAATCTCAGCACGAATACAGAGGGCTAGTATCGCATATGCCAGTTTAAGCCGTCTCTGGCGTAGACGTGATATCCCACTATCGACCAAAGGGCGTGTGTACTGCTCAACAGTCCGCTCCGTCCTCCTTTATGGCTGTGAGACCTGGCCATTGAGAGCAGAAGACATGAAAAGATTAGCTGTCTTCGATCATAGGTGTCTGCGTTCTATCTCCCGTGTTAGTTGGTGGTATAATAAGGTGAGCAATATTGAGGTTAGGCGTCGAGTGCTAGGTAAGGCGGGGAAATCAATCGACGAAACTGAAATTACTTCGACTGAGATGGTTAGGACATGTGCTACGTATGCCTAGTCATCGCCTTCCTCGACGGGCAATGTTTGCTGATATAGGGCCAGGTTGGAAAAGAGCTAGCGGTGGTCAAACAAAAACATGGCACCAGTCAATGAAATCCACAACAGTTAGTCTGAGCCACGTAGGAAGATGTAGACTTCCTGGTTGGGGTCCTCGGGACGGTAAAAACCAATGGTTGGTAACAATTGGTGACATGGCTCAAAATCGTTCTCAGTGGCGCAGATGCATCCACTCCTTGTGACTTATGATTTCCAATGAAACTGTTTCGTTCTTCTTTATTACTATTCCTTTGTCTCACCACACCTCTGTTTACTGTCTCTCTATTATGCATTTCTTCTACTTTCTTCTCTTGCTTTGTGTGCTACATGGAGTGTGGCGACTTGAACTGCCGCACATATGTGCAAAGTTCTATGTCGAAAACCGACCGACCGACCGACCATTGAGTCAGTAAAGAATATCCTTTTCAATAAATTCCTCTTCCTCTGGCTATACAATTACATCTATATATGCATGTTTATATAAATGGAATATTCTAGATTAGAAGTCAATAACAATATTAGTGTGTGCTTTTTAAATAATATCGATTTGTAAAGTAAGATCACAATGGGAATCACCACAGTTCATTTTTTAAGATAGTAGAAAATAGAATATCAACTAAAATTAGGAAAATTCCACAAAAATTCACGATAGATCATACAAACCTACATGGCCAAGCGGGTAAGGATAATGTCTGAACTAACCGACTTCTTTTGGATGCACAAATTAGACTTGTTAATCTGGATCACAACAGTCACCCAGCCAGCCTCAGCAATGTATTTAGTAGTCGAACTCTTAAGGCAAAATTGAGATTTGTTGTTCGTGTATGCGGTAAATGACCCTGAAAGCCGCCGCCTGGTTAACACCAATCTGTCTTGTGTTGTGTATCCACAAGACGATGAGTGAGATAGAATATAGCACTATGCGAATAGATTTTGTTTGTCCTTTACTTAACCAACCAACTACTATGCAGGGTGATGTTCGGAAAAGAACATTCAGTACTGCTGCCGAATTACGCTGTGTCTTCAAAACCACCCACTCCTCTTTTGCGTTCATTCGGGAGTAAAAGACGAACTGCCTAATTTCGCCTCTTCCATGTGTGTGTATCTACCAATTTAACTGCCCCTGTGGGGTCAGCCATTTAGTTGCATAGGGTTTGACACATCTCTGAAAACCGGAAAAATCACAACCGAAATCATAGCTGCTGCTGCTGCTGGATTCAACATAGAACTTGGCACTGAAGTGCAGCAGTTCCAGTTGCCACGTTCCAAATAGCACACAAAGGTAGACAAGAAGATGGATGAGTGAAGAGAATCAATCAATAGAGTTTTGACAAGTATAAGAGTGAAACAGAATGAGTAATGGTAGAAAAGAATATGAAAGACTACAGAGACTGAATACATCTGCGTAAGCCATTGACAACGATTTTGAGCCATGTCACCTATTGTCTCCAGCCATTGATTCTTAGAATCCCGAGGTCGGGCCGCAACCCGGAAGGAGTCTGCATCTCCCTACCTCACTCAGTTTAACTGTCAAGGATTTCATGGATTGATGAGGCCATGTTTTTGTTTGGCATGGCACCACTTACTCTTTTCCAACCTGCACCTATATATCAGCTAGTAATGCTCGTCGGGGGAGACGATGGTTAGGCATGCGCAGCACGTGATCTAGCCATCTCAATCTATGTAACTTCATAGCCTCTTCGATTGATTTTCCCTCTTTGCCCAACACTCTACGCCTAACGTCAACATTACTTACCTTATTATACCACCTAACGCGAGAAAGAGATCGTAAACATCTGTGGTCAAAAACAGACAATCTCTCCATGTCTTCCGCTCTCAATGGCCACATCTCACCGCCATAGAGGAGGACGGAGCGAACTGATGAGCAGTATACACGTCCCTTGGTTGATAGCCGGATGTCACGCCTACACCGCCAGAGATGGTGTAAGTTAGCGAAAGCAGCCCGAGCTTTCTGGATCCGTGCTGTGATTTCGTCACCAATCAATCCGTTGGTGCTGATCCTAAATAGGTGAAGTGGTCAACATGTTCTATCACTTCACTCCCTATCACTAAGCTAGGAGTTGACGTAGTCCAGTCAGTCCTGTAGCAGCACCTTACATTTTACAGGGGCGAATCGCATGCCAAACATACGAAGATTGCTGCTCAAGGTGTTCAGAAGACTCTGCTGTATTTTGCCAGCGTCCTCCCGTAACAGGACTATGTCGTCTGCGTATTCTAAGTCTATAAGACTATTCCCTGGTAACAAGTCGATTCCACCTAAGTCGTTAAGTTCAGTTAAGGATATTTCCATTAGCATATCTATGATGAAGTTAAACAGAAAAGGGGAAAGTGGACATCCTTGACGAACACCACTGATTGTTATCAATTCAGATGACAATTCCCCATAAGCCCTTACACAGCTACGTGAGTTTGAGTAGAGTGCCTTGATTAGTGCAATGTACTTTCTTGGCACTCCCTTCATAGTGAAACATTGCCATAGTACCTTTCGATCCACGGAGTCGAAGGCCGCCTTCAGAGTGCAGAGCACTTGTTGGCAACTTTGTTTTGATAATAATAATAATAATAATAATATGCCTGCATGTATATCATTTTACTAGTTTTTCTTCCATGCCTCCTTTCTCCCTCCTCGTCTAATATCAGTTTTTGCCTAATCGAATTTCAAACACCCCTAACCTTCACACTTATTGCGTTATATTAATTAACAACACACATCATTTTGCTGTTTTACTTTTACAACAATAAAGTGTTATACTTCTTACAATGATAATACATACAGACTCTGAAGATGATTTCGCTAAGAAGGAAACTTTTTTCTTCAGTTGATAATCTTTATACTTCCGTCATGCTGTAACGACAGAAGGCAAGAGTCGTAGGCAACAGATCATTTATTTATTAAGGAAATCAACGCATATTTGTTATATATGTTTTCATGTACATTACTATGGATATGTAAACAAACAAACACAGTCTTCCGATTGGTTGTTTCTCACGACTTCATGTACATTACTATGGATATGTAAACAAACAAACAAACACAGTCTTCCGATTGGTTGTTTCTCACGACAAATCTTGGGAATGTAAATATTGACGTAAATTACTGTCTACCAATTTGCCTAGTAGACAGCTCTCACCACAATGCTACTCCAGAGAAAGTGTTGTTGCTTTTGTGCATATAGTTGGATAGAAATTTTTGCAATTTTTATCTACTCTTTAATCGAGATCAAGATTCTGGGAATTTAGTAGTAGGAAATAAATGATTAGCATCACTACTACTAAAGTTTGTTCACTTCTTCATTAGAATAAAGATTTTCTTGTACTTCCCAATGAATGAATGAAAAACAAAACTATATTGTTGCTCTTACTGACGTTTCGCTATTTAATGCCATTAAATCAAATAACAGAGGTAACATAGTGCATCTTCCCTGGCTAGTATCAAAACAAAGTTTACTAACTTGACCAACGTTAGTTAGTCTGGGGGCATTTTTCGTGGTCAAGTTGGTCAATTGGTAAAGATAACGAAAACAAGCGTAGATGACTGTTGGATTTGATCAGTGTGTAAAGTTATAAAAGCAGTGTGTGTTTACATAGTGAACATGCTTCTCACATTCGTGTTGATTTTGTCACTTCATGGGGGAGGGGTTGGGGGTGTTGTAACCAGGTCAGATTCTGTTTTAGTCCATCATTCCTATTCAGTTCAAACAGTTCGAATTCCACTTGATGATATGAAGTGCTTCTGATAATATTAGACGTTCTTTGTGATCTCTGAAATTTTTTTGGATAATGATTTCAATATTGCCAAAATCAATTTTGTGGCCTGATTCTATAGCGTAGCGTGTAAACGACCTGTGGCTGATGATTTTTCAAGCTTTTCTAGTTCAACTGGATTTATTTCTCTGTGGTCGAAGAGATGCGGCTCTACGGTGTTCATTTCTTCTGATTTTGATTTCTCACTGGAGATGTTTGTGCAATGTATATCGCATCACATTCCAAGCAAGCATCTTATTTTATAGACACAATTTGATAGAGAATCTTTAGGGATTTGATCTTTTATATGGACAAGATTGTTTCTTAGTGTGTCTGATGTTTTTTGAAGAAAACTAATGTCGAGCTTATTGAGTACTCTTCTGATATCGTGTGACGTCTCCGCTCTATTTGGAATGACGACTGTTGAGGTCCATGTTTTCGGAATGCGTTTTCGGCCATACTTAATGTCAGTGTTGATTTTGTTGATGAAGTCCCTTCTTGGGTAGTTGTTTTGCTTAATAATAATACTGCTTTGATAAAGCTATTAGCAGCAGCAGCATTAAATAGCGAAACGTCAGTAGAAACGACAATATCGTTTTTTTAAATTCATTTATTGGGAAATACAAAAAAGTCTTTACTGTTAAAAGTGAACTTGGTTTGCACATATATTATTGTGGTGAGAGCTGGCTTCTAGCCAAAGTTGGTAGACAGTAATTGACGTCAATGTTTATGTCCCCAATATTGGTGGTGGTGAGAAAATGAGAACAAAGGCTTTGCGTAGGCGGATACAATTAGCAAATAGATAGATGATCTGACCTTCAAGAAACAGCCACAAAGAGAAACAACCACCAATCAGAAGACAGTGTTTCTCTGCGAACAATAATCTACAATAATGTACATTAAAATCTATAAATATGTGTTGTTGATTTTCCTTAATAAACGATCTGTTACCTGGCCCTTGTTGCCTTCTGTTGTTACATAATTTGTTCACTTCTGGCTACTTTATTTAAATCATTCTTAACATGAAGAAAGAAAGCCGACAAAAAGACACACCTATTAAAAAAAAGCAAAAAACAAGTTACCTATTTTTTGGTGTGGTTGTGTTCTCTGAGCTGGATGGTTTGGTTGCGAAGCTTTCATTGCTCTACTGAGCAACATCTTCAGCGCATACTTCGATGTGAAGTGAGCTTTTAGAATTCTCTACGAGTTTATTAGTCATCTCTTCTAGTAACCTTGAACGTGATTGGTTGTTTTCGTGTGACATTTCAGCCCCTAGTTTGCTTGTCTCGGTGCTGGCTGCTTCTTTGGTCTGAATGTCGTTAGTCATTCCTTCTGCTAACCTTGAACGTGATTGGTTGTTTTTGTGTGACTTGTCACTTTCTAGTTCACTTGTTTTGGTGTTGACTGTTTCCTTGTCGCTCATAAACCAACAAAGTCACTACACTCAGTTCTATGTAAACCAAAGGACTCAACGGCAAAAGAAGACTAAACTAACGTCATCTACAAGATAAATTGCAACGACTGCGACAAACATTACATTGGTCAAAGTGGACGCCCTCTTCGTCTTCGCATTCACGAACACAAACTAGCTGTCAAAAGACACGACATACACTCCCTCATATCACTACATGCAGACAACCACGGGCACCAATTCGACTGGGACAATGTTCAAATCTTAGACAAAGGGAACTGCAAAAATGCCAGAGAATTCCTAGAGGCCTGGTATTCAAATGAATCAGCAATCAATAGACACATAGAGATTGACAAAATATACCAATCCATACGAAGAAATTCACACAAAAACAAAGTCAAACTTCAGGTCAAGGAAACAGTCAACACCAAAACAAGTGAACTAGAAAGTCAGAAGTCACACAAAAACAACCAATCACGTTCAAGGTTAGCAGAAGGAATGACTAACGACATTCAGACCAAAGAAGCAGCCAGCACCGAGACAAGCAAACTAGGGGGTGAAATATCACACGAAAACAACCAATCACGTTCAGGGTCACTAGAAGAGATGACTAATAAACTCATAGAGAATTCTAAAAGCTCACTTCACATCGAAGTATGCGCTGAAGATGTTGCTCAGTACAGCAATGAAAGCTTCGCAACCAAACCATCCAGCTCAGAGAACACAACCACACCAAAATCATCCACCTGAGCTACAAATCTTCTCTATTATATCTAAAACAATTTACCTTTGTTTTCGTTTTGAAAGCGGTCTGGAATAATTATTTGCTGCTGAACCTGCTGCTGCTGCTACTGCTGGTTGAGATGATTTCCATGATGGAAATGATTTTTGAGAAACTGTTGTTGTAGACGGTTTCGTAGACCTAGATGATGATGATGATGATGCTTTTTTATGATGATAGTTGGCGATGTGGGCGCTGAGTAGGCTTGAATTACGCAGTTCACGTGGACAGTAAGGACAGGCATAAGCAACAGCGGTGGAGGCTACTGCTGCTGCTGCTACTACTGACTTCATTGGCATCTTCTGGGGTATTTCTGCTGTAGAAGAATTAGTGTCGACCAGTTTTGTGCCTTTCTGGCGCAAAAAACCAGTTCGTTGACGACTTTGTTGTTGTTGTTGTTGTGTGTAATTGAAAGACGACGATTCTGACAACGTTGACGACGAAGAATCTACTGGAAATGCAGAAGCCTTTTGTAGTACTACTGATGATTTGATTTGTCTCTGTGATAACAAAGATGAAAACACAAAGAAGCCACTTTATATATATACGACTGCAATTCAAGGGCGATCGATATATACCAAGTGAGATAATTACGAGGAAATTAAGAGAAAATCAGTTCAAAAAACTTGTAATGCTGGCGGCAAACTACACGTCTTATTCTCTACACGACCGATGGTGCTACCTCGACTGAAAGATGAAGTACCTAGACTAGACTAGCCACTTCACATTGTATCTACCAATTCAACTGCAACTGTGCTTGTGATGGAGCGAGTTATATCGGCCGTTGTTGCTCTAGGAACTTGATTTTTCGTGCTCACTCTCTCGAGAACACCTCCCACTATGGCTAAGTAAAGGTGTAGTGAAAACCATTAACAAACAGTTCGATATTGGACCATCTGGTGCAAACCGACCGGCCACAAAGCCAGCGTGGAAGAATCCTTCTCCACAATCATCTACCGGGTGCCTAATAAATTGCCAATATCATAATCGCAGCACCACATGCTCCAAACACCAGAGGCTATTGCAATTCGCCTCAAACAACCAGTGCTGTGTGTGTGTGTGCAAAAGAAGCAAGTCCAGCTACCCAGCCTCTACTACTGCCCTGACCGGCCTTCAGTTAGACTATAAACTCATGAATTTGTAATATTATCTTTCCTAATTCAACTGACATTCAGTTTATTTTGTGTTGATGCTATTGAACTGTAATCCATTGGTATTATTATTATTATTATTATTGATTCGATGTTATTTAAACAGCAACACTAATTCATTCATTCACTATTATGGATGGATATATAACTGTAGAGCCTGATGATGATGATGAAGGGATTATCGAAAAGAGTATTTATTCTTTGTTCAGTAACGATTCTTTTCAAAGACGAATAACACTAAAATTGAATATTCGCATAATGGCAAAGTTCTACGATAGAGTCCCAAAGAACGAACGCACAAGTGACCTTGAACCGACCAATCAGAAAAAAGGATGATTTTTGCAAAAAAGTTTACGTATTTTCACATAAATAAGCAATAAAAAAAATCAAACAGGGTACTTTTCTCTCATATGAGTTAAAAAATGTTCCATTTATTAATAGGAGTTTCAGTTTTTAAATTAAACCAATTTCTATACATGTATTCATCCAAATGACTGAAAATGACTTCGTTTTGTGATCCATTGATGGCTTGGATTCGATTTTTCAGTCTTCCCCAAAAACCCTCGATGGAATTGGTATGTGTTCCGGTGACAGCGTCGACGAAATCACGCAAATGGTTAACTCTATGATGTATATACCCCAGTTGCGATAACTGGTTATATCCCGCTCATTCATCGGTGTGTATGGTAGTGCCAGGCAAAACAAGCCTCTGAATAATAGGCACCAGAGTGCCCGCACTTCTGTCTGGAATCAATTCGATGAATCCTTTGCGAATTTGGGTATCATAAATTCCCAACACCCAAACGCTGTTCGCTCTAGCACGACCACGATTGTATTTCTTCTTTATGAGCACTGTTTCGTCGACGTGAACAGTAACACCCACTCCTCCCAAAACTTGAGTAATATTATTCATCTTCCATGACGCTAAATCTCTACAAAACTGAAACCATTAAACAGTAGATGCCAGGGTATTTTCTGTCTGAGCGGCTGTTGACCTCACTCCGGATTTAAAAACCCAGTAATTGCACATAAACAGGATTTTCGTCAACGGGAGTTTCGATTTTTCAAAGAAAGTCCCTAGAAGACAATTAACTGAGATTGTCACTTACCATTACGAACGCTTATTCGTTTTCTGCAATGTATACATCTAAAGACATCCATCAATGACCTGTGAATACGATTGCAGGTTCATAGAAGCACCACAAGTACATATCCGTGTACGTGCTATTAATCCATTATCCAGACAGTACTGAAATACGTGATCTGGGTGAAATTGGCATCTCAGTAGATGAACAGCGTTCATTTTCGCGGTAGAATAATGGTAAGTTCCTAAACCAATAACTTGCATGCGTTCAAGTTCATCGGAACATTCACAAGGACATTGGAACATTTACAATCTTGGGACTCTATTGTTGAACTTCGCCCGCATAATTTATTTTTAGAACAACAAAATAGTTAGAGCGAAAAATTGTCACTTTCAATAAATTCTTCCTTCTTCAGGCTGCTGTACAATTATAAATCCATTAATTTAACTTAAGCATACAATAGCCAGTCAGCCAGTTAGTAAAGGCAAATTAGAATCATATGAGGAAGTGCTTAGTGGAACAAGTATAAGTAAGATGGGATGGAACAATAGTCAGATAGTTTTTAATATGCATGGTCAATGAGAAGATGGGACAAAATGAGATGGAGTAATTTAATTTAATGATGTATATATATATATATATATTTAGAACAGCCTTGCGCTGCGGGTTGGCCACCCCTCCGCACACCTCTTGAAATCCTCCCATATGACCCGGCCTCTAACATAGCCTCTCCTGAGGAAGTCCTACTCACTGCCTTCACGTGGCGGAGGTGTGTTTTTTTCACCAAAGTGAGAGGGCGAAAGCGGATGCCCGGCGATCTTCACCGGGTTCACTGTCCAGTGGATGACAGTCTAGGGGAGATGGCTAAACCCTGATTCCAAACCTCCAACGACTAGCGTATGAAGCTCACTGGAGCTCACTGGCTGACGTATGGACAAAGGGCTTGTTAGATGTCCTGGATGTCTGGCCCCATTCAAAAAGGCGTATGAACCGAACTCCGGTCACCGGCTGCCAATGGATAGTGGACTCCCTACTCCACTCCTACTGCCTTGCAGGTCACACTTGGTTGTGTAAAGGCTAGAGCTGCACTCTCAAACAAAAGGCCGAGCGATTCTGGGGACGTCACTCGTACCAAATTCCCATGAAACTTCATGAACTCTCTTACAAACGATTCGAGATGTTCAGGAAGCCGGCTCATCCTCCCGTAGGAGATAGCCGAAGTAAAGTAAGTATATTTAGAACAACACATTTAAGCGAACAATATTGTTTTCAATTAGATCTCATCAGAACCTCGCCTAGATTACTAGGTCACTAGTATTCTAGCCGGTCCCAAGCCCGGATAAAGAGGGAGGGTTGGGGCGTGGTGCTAGCAACTCCACCCCCAAAACTTAACCAAATTGCTACTAAAACTTCAACGCACAAATATATTCAAAATTCTAAAAATACAAACAATAATCTTATTTTTCGCTGGAATCGGGGAAGTGAAATGACGCGGGCTGGTGAAAGCCTTCGGGAAGCCAGTCAGCCGATGTGCCTTCTTTCGATGAAAGCGAAAATAAGGATGGGGACGTGGAATGTTCGTACAATGTACGAAGCTGGGAAGGCTGCTCAGGTAGCCGCAGAAATGAGGAGATATAGAATAGAAGTGTTGGGAATCTGCGAGAGCAGATGGAACGGATGTGGAAGGAGCCAACTATCAACTGGAGAGACAATAATCTACTCCGGTCACCCAGAGGACAATCACGAGCACACCGAGGGAGTAGCCATCATGATGTCACCAACAGCGGCTAAAGCTCTCATGCAGTGGGAACCAATCTCCTCCAGGATAATGACAGCCAGGTTCAACTCAAAAGGAAAGAAGGTTACAATCATTCAGTGCTACGCGCCTACAAACGCCTCAGAACATGAGAAGAAGGAGGATTTCTACAGTCAACTACAAACAGTAATGGACAACGTCCCAAAGAGCGATATCAAAATCCTGATGGGCGACATGAATGCGAAACTGGGAGGAGACAATACAGGAAGAGAACTCACCATGGGTCGTGAGGCCCTCGGTGAAATGAACGAAAATGGTGAACTCTTCTCAGACTTCTGCGCCTTCAATGATTTGGTGATTGGTGGCAGTGTGTTCAAACACAGGGATATACACAAGGCAACATGGATTTCACCAGATGGACACACCAAACACAAACCGGATAGACTTCATTTCAATCTCAAGGAAGTGGAGACGGAGCCTACTAGACACAAGATCGAGGAGAGGAGCAGATGTGGGTTCAGACCACTATCTGGTACAAGGGACTTTCAAGGTGAAGCTGAAAGCCTCGAGGATACCTGGGGATAGGCCACAATGCAAGTTCAACACTCACAAACTGAAGGACACAATCACACAGGACATTTTCACTGCAACTGTCAGAGCAAAGCAGGAAACACTACGTGGCACCACTGAGGAATCATCCGTGGAAGACCATTGGAACTCTCTGAAGGTAATTTTCAACGAAACGTGCTCAACGGTTTTAGGAAGAAAGAAGAAACAAGACAAGGAATGGCTCTCAACAGACACTTGGAAACTAATAGAGGAGAGGAGAATGGTGAAAGAAAAAATGATTCAATGCAAAGATGGACAAGAGAAAGAGACGCTGAACTCAACTTACACAGCACTGGACAAAGAAGTGAAGAAGAGTGCCAGGAAGGACAAAAGACAATTCTACGACAACCTGGCTACTGAAGCTGAGAAGGCAGCAGGCAAAAGGGACCTGAGGACACTATATCAGATAACCAAGTCTCTATCCGGGAAGAGATCAACACAAGTGAAACCTATAAAAGACAACCAAGGGAACCCAATTACCAAAGAAGAAAGAC